CGTAGGCAGAGAGGGAGAAGAGGACAACAAACGAGGGGCTGTGACAAACTGTTTCGTCGGAGTTTCACCGACTCATCAGGAGGTATATATATATTCCTTGGCGGGGTGCCGACCAGCCGATCGGTCGGCGGGTCGGCAGTCGACCAGTCAAGGGCCACCGACCGTTGGGGGGTGCAACACTGATCCTAAGTAAGAAAAGCAAGAAAATGAAAGAAAAAAAAGAGGAGAGAAAAAAGGACGACGCAGAAGGACGAAGAAAAAAAGAGAGAAAATGAATCAGATACCAACTGGCCTAGCTGAGCCCATGAACTGTTGTATTACAGACCGAAGTTCGATTGAATTCAGATGCAACCACGTGAATGAAATCAATGAACTGAACGAATTCTGAATAACCTGGCACCGGTCAGTTCAGCAATGATATTTGTTTTTTTTGTTTTTTTTGTTTTTTTTGTTTTTTTCAAAGGCCAAGTCTTTTGAGCACAGTCCTCAGGGGGGGGAAAAAAAAAGAGAGGAAAAAAATGGAGGGAGAGAAAAGAAAATGAAAGAGATCTGTTGTGCACATTTTGAAAGCATCCACTTACACGTTTCGGATTAAGACCTGCGTGGACTTTGATGCCTCGCGCCTTCAAGTTTTCAGCCACAATAACTCTCATTTCCTGATCAAACCCCCTAAACGTCATCACATGGACGAAATGAAACACATTTTTCATTCATTGAATTAATAAATAGACATGGCCAGCAGAAATAGCAACAAAAAAAAAAAAAAAAAAGCCAGCATTCCAAAGGTTAGCTTCATCCATGTTCGCGTCAAGGTCATTGACTTTCGCACCGCTAGACCATCAACAAAACCATCCATTGCATTTCTCCAGGCGATCAAAATTATCCATAACTGAATTTTGGAAAAGGTATAAAGAGGTAAGGACACAAAAACACACCCAAAAAAAGGAAGACGACGAAACCCCTCTATGGAAAGAGGAAAGCCAAATCCGGGCAATGGCCCCAGTGACATTTGTGTACTTGGGAAGCTGGACCCCGTCTCCAGCAGGTGCAGCGCCCCACCAATAGAATGGAGCACCTGCTCACGCACCAGCTAGGGGGGTGTGCTCATATCACCCTCCCTAGCAGCACGTACCGAATTTCTTAAAAACAAAACAAAAACAAAAAAACGAGAAGAAGAAGAAGAAGAGGTAAGGACCGAAAGATATACACATCCTTCGTACACATACAACTTCACAACATGATGAAGAAAGCGGCAGCTCATTGAATCGAGACCATCGATCCCTTCATCACTCCCATTATAGAACTCGATCCGCCCCCCCCCCCCCCCCCCCTCTCAAAAAAAAAAGACACTCACAATCAACCAGGGATGTGTGAAGCGCGAATGAATGACATTCAATAAGGTCCACAAAGTTTTGCAGTCCAATCGGACGCAGTCCAATTCGCTGGAACTGGGTTTCCAGCATCAGCCTAACTTGGGCAGTGGTCCCAGCCTTCCGTCCGGGTTGTGTTGTGAAGGGATTCCTTCCCTCCTATGTGCGAGGATTTGTGTCATTGGCATGCCCGTAGGGGGCCCTTACTGCAAGCATTGTGCCCGCCCTCAGTGAAGGCGGGCCCCGTATCTCAAAGTGAGGCCTGAATATTTGCAAAATTTGCATGCCTTGGTGGGTGTCAGACAGTTGCCACGCGCCAGTCGGTGGCGTGCCCTGTTCGCGAGCATCAGAATCTTCCGTGAGCCTTCCAGGCTCTTCTACTCTCGACTTGGGAGCTGGCCTCTCGGCCAATCAGAAAGCAGGGAACACCTAGCTGGGCGCTGGGTGGTTGACTGCTGCGGGCCCAGACCACTGTCTGAACGGGCCTGGGCGCAGACACTTTGGACCAATGTGAAGCTACTGGGAATACGGGCCTCCCAGCCGAGCAGCCTGGAGGCCAGGCCGCTTTCCATATAGGAAAGAGCCTGGCCACAAGGAAAGCATTCGGGCACTTGGCTGTGTAAGCTGCTGGAGCGATTGCTCGCGCCTGCTAGCTAGCGCTGAGTGATGGGACGCGCACGCAGACGCTGGGTGAAGGTGGGCGCTACATACAAGCAGCGCCAGAGCCCAGCTGCCATAGCCAGGCTGAGGCTCGGGGGTGGTCAGCAGAGATTGGTGGTGCTCCTCGGATGGTGATGGGAAGTGGGTGGCGAAGACGCGGGTGAGCAAAGAGAGGGCGAGTGTGGAGGGGATGTGAGAGCGCGTACCTGGTCCTGGCGGAGGTCTGAATGGTCGACATCTGAATGTACTTTGGTTGCTGCTGCTGACGTCAACTGGTTGTTTTGTCATTTCGTAGGCTAGCATAGTAGCTGTGTGATCGTAGTCTGGGCGCTATGCGCCAATCAGGAGGAAGGACTCTGGACTCTGGACTCTGGATAAATTGTCGGTGGCGGTGAGAGAGTGCTCTCATTGACAATTGAGTTCAGTGTTTGGGTTCTCCTTCGGTGTAACATCGGTGCGTTTCTGCTTTCTGGACAGCTTTCGACTATCTGGCTTTGAAATTTGAATGCTATTTTGTAATTTTGAATTCTGTAATTTGCTAGGCTACCAGAGTGGCCCAGGGCCACTTGCCCGGCCGGGCCAAAAAAAAAAAARAAAAAAAAAAAAAAACAGATTAAAGAATTTCGATGTGACCCTGAGGCAAACGTTGTTCAATTTATTTGTCTGCATAACATTTTTTCCCTCTTTTTTTTTTTTTTTTTTGGCTAGGACCTTCCTTGGTTCTTGCACAGCCGGGCCGCCCGGGAAAATAGAGTGACCCGGGCGGGCCAGCTTTAATAATTTCGCTATTGCTCATTTTCCTTGCATATGCTTTATTCTAAATTAAATAAGTAAATAAGTAAATAAATCAATAAATAAAAATTTTAAAATAATAATAATATGGCCCACCAATCAAAGACAGTAGCAAGGAAGGGTGGGTATTAAGCGTCGCGAACAGTCCAAAAAGGTCAGCTACTTGAATTTACATGGCAACAACATCATGGTATACCTCCAGACAATCAACGACATAGTCCGTCACCAGATTTTTTTAACTAAAACCCTAACCCTAAAACCCATATACACTACATCCTAAAACCCTAAACACTAAACACTAAAACAATGGCTACGTCCAGTTCCCACTGCAGACAGTCTGGGTCTGAATGTCAGCATCCATTGTCCGGCCCCAAGCGTCGAGATCTGGGTCCCGGGCAGAATAAAAAAATGTCAACTTAAAAAAAAAAAAAAAAAAAAAAGAATGTCAACTTGAACCACCACCTACCCCCAAGCCTCTTTTCCGCTGAGGCAGGGCGGAACTACACGCCAATCGGAAGCCGAACCGCCAGTGTGGCATTTTGTTTCTTGGTTTGCCTGGAGCGGCCCAGCTTTTGGGTCTCTTAGCGGCCGGCCTCCGCCGGTCCTCTGAAGAATATGGGGTATAGGGATATATATATTCCCAGCTTAGGACTACAGCCCAAACGTTAGCCGCAAGGATGACCTCAAAATTTGCAGCCAGAAAAGAGGAAAAATTTTCAAAAAAATACAAACGAATTTTCTTTTTTTCCCGTCGAGAAGAGGGGGGGGGAGGGGGAGGGGAGTGAGGGTGGGCGTGTCAATCCGGATAGTCCGGAGCCATCCGACAGAGGTCCAGCCGGATGTCTGGATTGGTCCCATGTACGAGTCAGGCGTCGCCGCAAGTAAAACCAAAACCCTACATCCTCTGTATACCTACAGCTTCACACAGTGGATATACTCGTGAAGCAAGCGGCAGTCCAGTGGAATCAACCATCCATCTTTCCATTACTTCCTAAATGCGCCAACCTTTCCCATCAAACCTGCTAGTACATGGCTGCAGCCTTGTCGTGAAATTGTTTGTCACCTACTCCGAAAAAGTCGGCGCCGGTGCACCGTTGAGCAATTTCATCAATGGCCGCCGAGTCGCATTTCGGGCCCGCAGCCGACATATGGCCGTGTACTGGTGGTTTAAAAGGACCCCTCCTCCCGACAACCACAATCAGCCGGCCGCATGTAAAAAAGGAGAATGACAGTCAATCAGGTCTACAAATCATTGCAGGGTAGAGAGAGAACTTCACGACGTACCTTTCAACTACTAATTTGAGTTGTTCCCCCCCCCACCACCACCACCACCACCACAAAAAAAAAAGAAAGAAGAAGAAGAACAAGAACAAGAACAAGAAAGAAAGAAGTTCAAGATGAAAAACAAAAAGGAAAAAAAGGAAAAAAAAAGAAAAAAAAAAAAGGAAGAATATGTTGAGCTTCACAAAACGCACCTCAAAGGCAACTCTTTCCTATACATGATATGAACTTCTGAGCCCAATCCTTTAAAGATCCCGGCAAACTCAACAGCTATATACCTGCAGAAAAGCAAAAGCACCAAAAAGATGGTCAATAATTAGTCCGCACGCTGGGCCGCGCTGAACTGCTCACCACTCGCAAGACCAAAAATATGACGGTGTATCTTGCAATGTTTTACAAGAAGATTCATTCTCATTTTGGACTGAACTCAGCCGCAAATACGGTAATTATCGCTGTGTATGGACGGAAAGTAGAACGGTTTTCACCTTTTGCAGTCGCAGATGCGGATCCCAGAGTTCGATCCCCAGACCTTACCTTACCTGTGTACAGTATCAAGTCGACCCTGTGAGTCTTGAACCCGTGACCTGCGTGTTAGTAGTTGAGGGCTGTCTGTCGTAGGTCTGAGTAGTTGTCGGGTCTTGAACCTTAGACCTGTCGAATCAGGGGTCATACCAGCATAGGGGTCATAGCTGTTGGAGTTTTGAAAGGTCAAGGTCGTAGCTGCTACAGTCCTGAGAGGTCAAGGTCGTAGCTGCTACAGTCCTGAGAGGTCAAGGTCGTAGCTGCTACAGTCCTGAGAGNCTGCTACAGTCCTGAGAGGTCAAGGTCGTAGCTGCTACAGTCCTGAGAGGTCAAGGTCGTAACTGCTACAGTCCTGAGAGGTCAAGGTCGTAGCTGCTACAGTCCTGAAAGGTCAAGGTCCACAGCCTTCCGGAAGGTCCGGAAGTGGCCTTTCAGATTTCTTCTCACGTTATACACAGTAGGCCAGAGGCAAGTGGGCAAGTGGTGAAGTGCAACTTCGCTTAGTCAGTAGTACCAGTCCCGGTCTCACTTTGCACAGTCAGCAAGTACCATGAGGGACTGTGTGCACCATGGGCCCGGTGGAAAAGGGCAGACCAACGACCTACAGAAGTATAAATCAAGACGCAAGCTCAGGGCCTGAATCTAACCTTGTACCTACCTGCATTCATCCCTAAACCCTCATGGCCAATTGGGAACCTACCGAATCTTTCAAAGCCTACCAGACCTTCCACACGCAGGCCGACTCGGCGGAAAAAGCCACCGGGTGGCTGCCAAATTGAGATATTCTCCTCTCCATTTTTTCCACCTCACACTAGCTACCTACGTACTTCGCGCTATCTACCCACATGTCTAGCGCTATCTACCCACATATCTAGCACTATCTACCCACATATCTAGCACAGCAGAAATCCACATCTATGCAGTGTAGGGGAACAGCTATGTGCTGAAGGCGCAACTGACCAAGAATGCCCATCAATCTAATCTACTCTATTCTATGAAGGGAGTAGTCCCCGGAGGGGGCGGGGAGTCTGCAGTCCTAACCCCTAGCAAGGGATGGCAGGATCGCAGACCCCTGTCAAGACCAGTCCGACGGAGGGGGCGGGGGAGGAGAGGGGGCGGAGCGGGGGCGGGGACAAGCCAACTACTATCTCGCCTGGAAAACACCAAGCCCACCGCAGGCGGCCATGGGGAATTGAACCCACAACCTACTGAATACCGCTTGCATGCTAAACCAATATACCTAGGCTGCTGGCCCTTGTCCCTGTGCATCCTGTTTCTTCTGAGCACTTTCTCCTAAGTCCTTCCCACGTCCAATTTCAGTCCTAACCCTGTCGCTCTACCTATTTACCGTTCTACCCCTCGTGAAGCACAGAAAACAAAGCACAAGAATAGAATCAGTTCACCGGCACGGCAAGCATTGCATAGAGACACACACATTCAAACAGCAAGCTCTCTCTCTCTCTCTCTCTCTCTCTCTCTCTCTCTCTCTCTCTCTCTCTCACACACACACACACACACACACACCAATGGTCAGAAGACTGCAGAAATGTCAGACTGCTGCAGGTCATTGGATAATCGTGTTTTTTTTTTTTTTTTTTTTTTTAATGTTTGATCAGTCATACACCACAACTATTACGGTTGCAAAAAGAAGAAAAAGAAAAGGAAAAAAAAAACAAAAACAACTATTACGGTTGCAGTGCGCAGATGCTTACCCTCCACCCACAACAACAACTCTCTTCGGGAACTGCTCCAGGCTAAGAGCTTCATCTGAGGTAATACCATACTCCTGCAAAGTGGACCAGGTACAGAACATACAAAATTAATTGGACCAGGTACAGAGCACACAAATTTGTTGGACCAGGTACAGAGCACACAAATTTAATTTGACCAGGTACAGAGCACACAAATTTAATTGGACCAAGCACAGAGCACACAAATTTAATTGGACCAGGTACAGAGCACACAAATTTAATTGGGCCCGGTACAGACTCTACAGAGCACACAAATTTAATTGGACCAGGTATGAGCACTGGTTCTGCAGCACCCATCAAGCTTTCAAGGGTGACCTTCACACATCAAGAAGTGGCCAAAACTGAAAAAAAAAAAAAAAAAAAACAAGGGTAACTTCAGTAGAGTCACGAAAAGGAGTTCTAAAATTGCACTCTGGGGCAAGATACAGTTTGCAATTGCACTTTGGGCACCGCACCTGGCCAGAAAGCTGGATCGTATACATTGCTCGAACTGATATCCGAAACTGTATCTTGCTACGTAGTGCAATCGTATCTGATTTTTGTGACTCGCGCGTAGTCCCCCCCCCCAAAAAAAGCATAGATTCAGTGCATCGACATGTGCTGCAATGCGCACATGCACCGCATGCCAAAATTACAGGGTCCACCAAAAAAAAAAAGTTCGGGGGGCGGGCGGGGGAGAAGGGGGGGGGGGGGGGGACACGCCCGCTAGGCACTTGTGCTGTCTGTTACCCAAAAAAAATATAAAAAAATTGAGGGCGCGGGGGACCTGGGAAAAAAAAAGCAGGGAGATCCGACTACCTTCTTCCCCCAAATACAACGTATGATCATTATAGCTGTATTTGAGGCATCTTTCAGTCTAGATACAGCTATAATGACCGTACGTTGTATTTGGGGGAAGAAGGTAGTTCATTTTTGAACTACTCGGACCTGCCCCATGCCGGCCTACACCCCGACAGTCGCCCTCAGTGCCCCAGAGTCGTCGCCATCTACTCCTGCTCCGCCCTTCTACCTTCCCCCTACTCCCTCGTCATCGGTGTGCTCCGCCCTCCTCCATTCCCTCCGTCCTCCCTCGTCATCATTCTCCTCCTCGTCAATCCTCCCAATCATTCTCCTCATCCTCAATCCTCCCTCATCATCGCTCTCTTCCTCCCTCCGTCGTTCTCCTCCCCCTCCCTCCTTCGTCATTGGTGCAATCCTCCCTCCTTTATTCTCCCTCTGCCCTTCGACCTTCCCCCTACTCCCTTGTCATCGGTGTGCTCCTCCCTCCTCCGTTCTCTCCGTCCTCCCTCATCATCATTCTCCTCCTCCTCAATCCTCCCGCACCGATGCGCGCTGATACACGAGGCCCCGCGCACCCCATTGCGCACTGCGCATAGAAGTGTAGCGCAGCGCAGCATGCATTGCGCGTCGATGTGCGATGTGCGCGCATCAATGCACGCGCGCGGTGCATCGCGCAGCACATAGATGCGCCGCAACTATGCAAAAAAGGCAAGAGCGCCCATCAAACAAAGCAATTTGCTTTACTGAGGGAGGACCAGACCAGACCACCATGGATCGAGTCTTTCTGTATTTTTGGCTTTTTTTTATAATAAAGCAAACATCCTGTGACATCCTGTGCTACACAGCTGCATACCATAGTGTTTTTTTTTTTTGTCTTTTTTTTGTCTTTTTTCGATTATTTTTTTTTGTTTTGCTGGGACCTTCTTTGGTCCTTGAACGGGCAGGCTGCCCGGGCAAAAAAGGTGACCCGGGCGGCCCGGCAGGTAGCCTAGTTCAATTCAATTCATTCACAATCATTCACAAAAAGAAGCCCTCCCCCCCCCCCCCCCCCCACACACACACCCCTGACACGCACACACACACACACACAACACATGCACACACACAGACGAAAGGAACAAAAAGAAAAGTGCACGCACGCACGTGGAGTGTGTGGATTTGTCACATGCATGCACCCGAGAAAACATTGAAACCTTGGAAATTACTTTCTTGAAGTTTCTTCACTATAAAAAAAAAAAAAAAACAAGAAACCAAAAAAAAACACCTTGCCCGGAATGTTAAGCACCGCAGCACGGCTCCCCGTCGCAATCAGTATGTGCTTTGCAGTGATGTACTTGACCTCCCCTGCGGGGGGTGTCACTTGCACTGTGTGCGCGTCCAAAAGCTTCCCCTCCCCCTCGATCAAAGTGACACCGGCATTTGCTAGTATCCTCTTGTAAATGCCATTCAACCGTTCAATCTCCTTTGTCTGTTCGACACACAGGAAAAAGAAAAACAAGGGGAAAAAAAAAAAAAAAAAAAAAAAAAAAAAAAACCGTCATAATACATAATAATGATAACATACA